GGGGGGGGGGGGGGGGGGGGGGGGGCGGGATGCAAAGGCATTCCTGTTACCCGAGAAGCTTCCCTGACGGCTTTAACGTAGCATGTGGTTTTCCTCTTCTTGTGTTCTTCTCTCATTCTCCTTCGTGCAGCGTTCACAGGAAGTCTTCCCCACTCATTGTGCCCTTAGAGCTGCCTGTGCATTCAGGAATAGCAGCTAGGATACTTCAGGTTGAAACTGACCCGCTGACTGCTCCATGATATAGTCCCTGCTGGCTCAACGGTTCCTAACATAGGGAAATGTGGTTTGTCTGTGGCCTAGTTCCATTTACCAAGCCTTTCTGTGCTTTGCTGAGGCAGATGATAGAAAATTGTAGAGAACTGGTCAAAGGCTTAAAATCGTCAGGATGTTGAAATACATCATGCGATTCCTGAAATTGACAGGCTATTTACTCATTTGGTATGTCAGCCTTGTGCTGGGTAGTTCTGCCATTCTCTGGTAATTTATTTGTAGCCATGGTTTCTCTCTTTCTTTGCATATATCTTGAGTGCTCAGAAATCCTTTATAAGGAGGGAGCGTCTGCCAAGATGCTATTGCTTCATGTAGCAGGGTACCTGCTAGCTTCAGTAACTGGGTAGATAGGACTTAGCTATATAATTAGTAGGTGGAAACTTTGAAAATGGATTGATATGAATATATTTTGAAAAAAGTGACTGGCTATAATGAAAAATAAAATGTCATCTTTTCAAGGGGCTGGAGCAATTCTCTATTGTTTGACTTTTGCTTAAGAATAATGGATGCCTCCTTATGCTGGGCAGACTATCTACCTAGGTAGCTTAGAATGACCTACTCATCAGCTCTGAAGCAAAGAAATATCATCTGAGATTATTTCCCATCATCTGATCTCTCTGACCATAATTACTAAGGGCTGAGCTAGAGTTCTCTGTTTCTTCAGTGAATCGAGGGCAGGAGCCAGTTGCAATCTCCATCACTTGGAGAGGGTTCACAGAGTTTCTCCATCAGGATCCTTGATGACGGCTCCTCCTCATGGCCATTTAACTGCCAATTGAAATGTTTGAGCTTTGCTGGTATATTGCAGCTCCATTTTTTCCTTGCACATTTCATCGGCCATAATATATGTAATTTTTTAAAATCAACTGTTGGTCACTAAAGCATAAGCAAACCGTTGTCGTCTGTCTTGTTTGTCTATCTAGAGCAGGCAAACTCCATGAGGAGCTTTGACCTTAGACTCAGGGAAAAGTGTGAGAGTTGTTTGGTAGCTGCAGAGAGAATTTCTTCTTGTGAAATTGACAAGCAAATGTGTCTCTCCGTGGCAGGTAACAAAGAAGTGAAGCAACTTTGGGATTTGTTTTGTGGACTAAATGACCTGGTAAAATGTAGCTGCTGCAGTGGAATTTTATCTTCTCGTTACTACAGTGGTAATACCCTAAACTGCCAAACATTGATGATATGAGGTCCTCATGGACTCTTGCCACTGCTGTTTTGGCACTGCTCTTCACTGAGGTTTTATTCTTTCTTTGGATGTGGTTTTAACAGGACACTACCAGCTAATTCTAGTAAGAACACTAGTAACAGAATCCTTAAATGAGCCATCCACTGCAAATTTCAGCATTCAATTTAGTCAGTCTTCCCTGTTAACTTGTAGCTTTTCCCTACTTACCTAGTACTACAGTATTCGGGAAGGACCATCAATCTTCATGGCTTGGCCTGAAGAACTTTTCAATTATGGTAAACAGTTATTGGTTTCAGCCACTTTTATATATGACACATAGAAATAAGTAACAGGAGGCAATGAACGAGCTTTAGGTATGCAGGCAGAACTTATTAAAACATTGGGGCAATAGCTAGCCTACAGTTATCTTAATTAAAGAAGGATTGTGCATGAGCTGAGAGATCTTGAATCTTTAAAAAGAGGGCCTCAGCAAGAAATGTATCATGAAACAATAAACCAGAAGACACATTTAGATAAGATACAATAGAAGCTTTGTTCAAACGACAAAAGCATTTGGATCCTGGTTTGTCAGGTTACAAGTTCTTACCACATTTTAATGCCCTATTAATTTTATCTGAATTCAGAGGCTGATGCAGCTGCTAAGCTTCCTGTTACTAACAGCTAAACTGTGATTGGCACTTTTTTCTTCTCCAGTTAGGATCCTCTGTTGCTTTGGATTTTCAGAACCCCCAAAGTGTTTTATTTTTCCTTGTCTTTCCAAATTGTCTTTCCGACCTGAGCATTCTGACAACAGCATTTTACCTGTGCTTTTTTTGACCTTTCTGACCTTTCAAGATGATCCATTAGGTATCTGACCCATGTTATGAATAGTTGAGGAATTTGGGATACTAATACAATATCTTACTTGCCCCATGAGCAAGTATGACTTGTGAATCATCTTAAACACCCTTTAACTATGTCTGAATTCTCAGCTTGCTACCCGCCTGTGATCTCAGTTATATTTTCTCATGAGCTGATAGGTGGTATAGCCTTGGGGTATTTTCAAAACTGCCGAACTGCCTGGTTCTGTGAGATCACTGTAATATTGCTGCTACTGGAAGGATAGCTCTCAATTCTTGAACATCCAAGATGCCCAGTTCTCTCTTCTGTAATCTTAGATTTAGAGACAGTGCTTTGAGATTGGCTTCAGACTTGAATAATGTAATATATGAGATGTGACTTTTGTAGAATAGCCTTCTACAATATGGTGCTCCCCCAAAATATGGGGACTACAATCCCATGATTCCCAGTCAGAATCCTAACTGTGAATTTTGGAATTTGTTAGATCAGACACATGAAGAGGGTTGTAACTGAACAACCACATTCTATATCACCCCTCCTCCCACATTCCATATTGTACATCCTGCACCTATTTATATTATAAATGTTTTGATTTCCATTAATTCTTTCCTCTTAGTCATAGACATGGTATTGGAGAAATCTAAGCTTGTTGGAAAATTATCAGTACAAGTACATGAGAGATTTCTTACTAGAAGCAAATTCCATATTTTAAAAAGGGCTTCCTAATAATATAGTGTTCTTTTTTAATACTCTGTACTATTTACTCTTCTTTTCAGCATTCTGGACTGGAAAGACTTTTAAGGCAATAAGTGGATTTCTGTGTGCTGCTTGTTGAAACCAACTTTCCTGAAAAGACTCCCTTGATAAAATTTTAGTTGCAGCTCTATGAGTAACATCAGCTTTCTTCCAGTGGAACAGTTTTCTCCCACACTTGTATTAACTGAAACTGCATACAAACCAATTTCTCTGTTCCTACCATGTTGTGAGTCCCTTAGCAACTGGCATTCAGTAGTATATTGCCTCTGAACATGGAGTATTCATAATGATTATGAATTTTAGCCTTTGATCACTGAGAAAAATATATTGAACTGTGCAAGCAATTTAAGCCAGTCAGCCAGCTAGAGAAAACATAGTGCAAAAATGGTGGTAACATCTGTTGTCCAGGAAGATATTTCTTCTAATGATGTGTTACTTGCTCTGTGTGAGACTAATAATAGCCATTTTTCTAGACACGTAGGAAACTTGTGATCAGAACATGTGATTTAGCTGTTAAGTTGATTTTTTGATAGGGAACAATAACTGGTTGGCATGTTAGTGTTTTAATAGAGGAAAGCCCAGTTCTTTTGTTGGTTGTCAATTCCCTAAGTTCTTGCAACTTTTGTTGTGGAAAATCCTACCCTATTGTCTTCCTAAGATCATCTTGTTCTGCAGTTGAGATAATTCTGAGAAAAACTCTAATGTTCTATGTGGATCTCAAGAAGCCATTTAAGCAAATTCCTATTCTGATCCAAGAGCCCAGCCCCTTAACTTTATCAGGATTCCAGATGTGTTGGATGTCAACTTCTACAGTTTCCAGCTAGTACAACAGAGTCCCATAAGAGCTGGTGCAGCTTATCTAGAGGCAACAGACTGAGGAAGACTGCCTTGCTTTGTAATGTTGAAGGGGAGCAATAGCCTTATCCCCTAGAAGTTTGTGTCTAAATGGGCAAGGCCACTTACCATCCTCCCATTTTCAAAACAAGACTAGCTTTGGAAAGTGGTTTTCAGCAGTGAGACCTGTGGTCCATTTGCAGTGGATGGAAGAGCTGATTTCCATGGCAGGTGGCACTAAGGGGTTTCCCTGTTTTTTCAGGATGCCCAGGATCTGCTTGCTTGGTTTGTTTCCCATGTTTAGTATCCATTTCTAAGAATGCCTAATGTGATAACTGAACCTGATCTTGTATGGGAGACACTGGTCTTGCCTGTGTTTGCCCTTTTGATATGGGAGGACTTGGGAGCCTAGAATGTGAATTAACTACTGGAACAAACTGGACCGAAGCCATAGTTGCTTCATTCTCATTCTCTCTCTCTCTCTCTCCTTTCTCTCTCTCTCTTTTCATCTTGACTTTGACTCTGGGGGCTGGGAATAATTGGAATTGTAATCCAACACATCTGGAGACCACCAGCCTGGGGAAGACTGCTTTATAATCTTGGAAGGACCATGGTGAGAGAGCCTAACAGAAGACTTGCTGTAGCAAGTCCATGCCCACCTCTTTCGTCTTATTCCTCCCTGTGAAAGAGTGCCACCTAGTTGGAAGGCTGCACTTTGTACTTCTCATCTGCATTTCCTGTTATGTGCAGAATAGAAGTTGTAAGCTATTCCCAGTAATCTTTTATGAATGTGAAAAATGTTTAAGAGTGACTCCTCCCTCCCTTTCCCCCAATTAGTACATTTCGACTCTGCATTGGCTGGATTCCTGCATTGAAAGGAGTCAGCAATGTAGGAAGAAACCTGTTATCTTTCATTCCAGAACATTGTTTTTAAGATAATGGGAGGGGAAAGCATCAGACATTATACTAGGAAATTAGAAGTGAGTATGCCTTGCGTAAGGGGATAAGGAGGGACCAGATTTATTTCTTCCTTCCACTCTGAGCTTGTATATGAGCTGAAATACAACTCAGTGTAATCCATTGCAGGTTGCTGTAGCTTGTGGGCAAGCCAGGTTTGTGCATTTTCTAACTTCCATTCCAGGACTGCCTGTCTCTCTCCCCCCCTCCCCCCAATGTACCTTTCTGATCCACTACTGTGGTGGCAGTTCGACACTTTGCCTGGTGTTGTTTTGGCCTGCCATAACTGAGTTCAGCCTACCTCAAGAGGTAATTCTGTGTCTCACTGTCTTGCAGCCACAATCCCTTTTATTTCAGTGTCCTTTTTGATACATACACACACACACACACAGATGTGACACTGGACTGTCTATCACCCTACTCTCCAGCCCCCTTGCTGATGCCACCAGTTCTTATTGCAGATTGGATGCTGCTTTAAATGTGAAAAAAATAAAACAATTGTTTTAAAAAGCTATATAAAGAAGAAAAAATAAAAATAAAAACCTGAATGAAAAGCTAAAGCTGAATTTATAAGCCTTGTTGCATATGAGCCAAAAGTGCAAAAAGCTCCATATAATAAACTAACCTGCCACTCATATAAATATAAATATATATAAATATATTAAAATCAGACTGTTCTACAAAATTGTGTATTTGTATTTTTGTGTACGTACAATTTTCTGCTAAGCAGAAGGAGGATGTAGTATAGGATGTGAGAGAATTTTTTTTAATCAAATTTCTTTTGCTACTTATTTTTCTTAACATTCATCTCTCTGTCTCTGTCTTCTCTATGTATGACACAGTTTTTGAAAAAGCTGCAGTCTCTCTCTTCTTCCCCCTGTCCCACCCAATCCTTCCCGTAGTCCATTGCCAGGGTATATGCTGCCACTAGTTTTGCAGATACAGAAACTCTCAAAAGGTTTGAATAACTGACTGCTGTTAGTAATGTCAACATGTGCTTTGTTGGGACTTGGCCATAGTTGCTTCCAAAGTTGCTATTTCCCTGAAGCAGCCTGGCACTTAGCTAAAGTTGATCAAGACTTTTGTTGGTCTTTGATTTGAGATCCCAAATATCTTTGTGAAGACATTCCTGTATGGAAAAAAAATGTCATTGTCAATCAGACAGACCTTAATAGACACATTTGGGAATTCCTAAGCACAAGTCCAGGAATTGAGGACAAAGGCATTTGGCTAGGTTGAGATTGTTACTCAGTTGAAAACTGAGCAGCAGACTAGTGTAGCCATGATTTGGACAAAAGCAGGATGGTCTAAGTGCCCAAAGTATCTTGTGCATATTTTTTGTAATCCTATAACCTTTCTAGAAAAAAGGCAAGTACATTTAAAGAGGAAGCCATTTTGTAAAAAATGAGTAGAGTGATGAGAGAGCAAAATTAGAACCATCTCATATTTGATTAAAGTTTCTGAGTTTTCATGTGTCTTCCCTCTTTGGAAAGAGATTAGTGGAACTGCCATTTGTTTATCAGTTAATTTAAACTATCAAGGGATTTACTTTGATTAATGCAAGCCAAGTTCCCACAAACCTGCATCTCTCCTTCTAACCTCTAAAGTATATTTGACTTCCAGAATGGTTAATACCTTGCAGTCTTTGTTGATATAAACACAGTTCAGTCATGCTAGAGACCCATACTGAGTGTTCTTCTGACAATTCCAAGACGGGCTATAATGAAATATAAGAGTAGAAAATGGAAGAGGCTTGCTCCTAAGAAAAACCATTTGAGAGTATTGAGAGCCATCATGTCAGGGAAAAACCTAGATGTTTTCCTGTCATGCTAGCTTCTTGTATGGAACATGCAGGATGTTAAATTCCTAAACAGTTTTCCAGTATAACTGTTTTGTTGAGAGTTACTTCCCCAGCTTAAAAAAGAAGTTACATATAAGCTCTTTTCAAAGATATGAGAGCCTTTTGTATATCAAACTTTCCTTGACTTTTTTTTTTCATCCATTTTATGGATGGTAACATCCACTCACTCATTTAGTGTCCCATGGTTCTTTGTGCATGCATACTTTTTCTCTTCTTTTAAAAGCTACATGTCCCATACTGTTGACCCTTACCATTTCTTCCAGGGGTGAGAGAGACACTACATCTTTCTAAGTAGGGCTCATATTTATACCAGTGTGTACTGACTGTGGAAGAAGTCCTTGTTTCTGTATGTGAATGGGGAAAGAAACAAGTGCTCTATTGTATTGATTAAAAACTAGCTTAAAAAAACAAATGAGTCCTGTATCATTGTATCTCCTATTCTGGATTATTAGTGCCTTTTTGGACAGTAGACTGTTCTGTAATTAAATTGTAGTATAACTGCTTTTTTGTACAGTTTTGTTTTAATAAACTTTTTTTAATTTGTGTTTATTTTAGTATTGTACCTACTAGAAAATTAAAATGTATAACTGAAAAAGAGCTGCCTTGTCGTCCTTGTTTTTCCCCAAGAAACTCTGCTTTTGGGAAATGTTTTATACAAGGTAATATATAAAGTCACGCAAATCTTCTAGATAGTCTGCTTGACTGCCTCTGTGGCAGGTTACAGTATTTATTTAATTGTTTATTATAAAGTTTTATATACCAACCATTTCTATGGGACCCAAGGCAGTTTACAGATCAAAAGAGGTATATCAAATAAAAACAGGAGAGCAAACAACATCTAACTTCCGGCTAATGGCGAGCCCAGACACAGAATAGCCAGGTTCTCAGCAATTTGCAAAAGGTGAGGAGGTATATTTAAGCTTTAGTTGCTTTAAGAACTTCTAGAGTCAGCCATCTCTATTCTAGTATTGTAGTCAGAAGTCATGGCTAGCCCCAAATATTCTGCTAGTGGGCTGTTAGAAGCTGCTCTAGATTCACCATACAAAAAAGAAGTGTGGTGCAGTCATGTAGGGAAGCTACTTTGAATTGTATCAGACAATTGCTCCATCTAGTCAGCACCGAAGTATGAAGGACTACAGAACTGAACATTAGATCCCATATGTTGTGAGACATTACAATGATGTGTATTATAGTGTTACTTTTAACACATGCAACCTGTTCATAAACTTTAAGGAGAGTTGTTGGGTTGTTCAGCAAAATGTAGGACCAATTAGAGGGGGAAACGCCAGTTGTTACCCTCTGAAAGAGATTTTTTAAATTCTAATATAATTCTAATATGAAATTGGTGTTATAAAGATGGAACTGGTCCCTAAGACTTGCCTGTGTAGCAAAGGACTGGAAAATGATAATTGCAACACCATTTTTCTTTAAATAAGGAAGATTGGCATGGAGAAGAGATGAGGGATGGGGGAGGGGGCAGGTAGAATCCCTGGAAATGTCAAACTATTTTTACTTAAAAATTTCTTTATATAGAATTGAAAATCATGCTTGAAGGTACAGTAATTATGCATATCAAAAGAAACAACTCACTAAAGAAGAATCAGTTTGAGTCCTGCAGAGGCAAGTTCTTGCAAATTATTTGAGTATTAACCAGCTTATGAGTTGGAGAAGTGGACTTCCTAGACAAAAAGCTTTTGACAATGTTCAGGGACTCTGTTAGGAAACTAATTTAGCAATCATGGGATAGGAGGGGAGAGCATCTAACCATTCAGCAACTATTTATTCCTTTTCACTTACTGGACATAGTTCTCAAAGCCAAGCAAAGGATACTGATATTTAATTCCATTTTCATTAAAACAAAAATATATTGAGAACTTTTTGGGAGGAGGGGGGAATACATGCCCTAATTATTTAAGTTGCTTTTAGTATAGAAGTTAGTGAGGCAGTTTAAAATTCTCTTGTCAAATTAAGAGAAGGGCACACAAACTTTAAAGAAATGTGTTAAGTACTGAAAATTGGGGGAGAAATGCACTTAGACACACACCCAACAGGGCATTAGCAGCCAGTGACTCACCAGGGACATTAGGATTTCTGGTGGCCACCTCCCTGAGTTTTGATATATATGTGTGGCAATTAATTATAAGGCAAAAAACCATGTTGACAATAGGAAACTAAACTGCTAATACCATGCTTCCATAATCTATGATGCAGTAAAACTATCAGTGACTGGAGCAGCTTCATTAAGAAAACCACCATACTTGGAAGGGGTGGATTACTTAGGCTATGGGAAAAAAAGGCAAAGGAAGTTGTATAAAATGGAGACTTTGGGGAAAAAGTGTGTTGTGTGATGCACACACATATTTGTTTGTATAGCTGTAGAAACAGGTAAAGTTATTTAACCCAAGTTATGTTCAAACCAGCAGAACACTTACTGCATTTAGAGAGAATTACGCAGTTTGTATATAATTAGAAAGGGGCTGGGGCTCCAATCAGTAAAACCTACCAACTCATTTAGGAAAAATCATATATGAAAACCACCATTCCATAGCAGCACCGAAATCTGGTACGAGATATTCAGCAACATGGCTTTCATCTTAAAAATATAATAACAATTATAATTTTTATCTACCCTTGGGCTATAGGGTAGATTTTTTTATCCCTTATAAGAAATAAAAATGTAAGTTTCTGTTGAGAACACTAAGAAAGCATAGATAAATGTATAAATGTGTGTGTATAGGACCTTAGGGTAAACAATACAAAGAAAGAAAAAGTAATAGTGCAAATTCTGTTCACTTTACAGAACACGCAGGGCAACACACTCTGCCATTTCTCTCTCAAGCAAGCAGAAACCTGGATTATGTGTTTTGTGTGAACCTTTCATTCAAATTTACTTAAACCAGCAATTCTGCATCAGTTGACTAAGAAAAGGAGGGGGTAAGAAGAGGAAATGAGGCTTGACAGAAGGAAGGTATTTTATTTAGGTAACATTTGTCACAGATATGGTACAATATTACAAGTTTAGTATATAATACAAGAGAGAGCATTACAAACTTTACATTTCATTACAAGAATCTTTGGATTTTAGCATATTTTAAAAAGGTACAACCAACAATACTTCTGAAAACCAGTCTAAACATCTGTTCTTTATATACAGGCTCCCAACATTTACAAAATGACAAATCAACAGAAAAGACAATTGAGAAAAAGCTGCTCCAAAACAGGAGGTTAGTGTCCAGGCAATCAAATGCTTTTGGTAACCTAGTGGATAGACTCACTTGGAAAGTAAACCCCCCTCTCCAAAGATCAGCTTATCTGCTCGTAGGTCTTTCAGGATACCTTAACTGAGACCTATAAGCTAGGTTAGATGCACAGTGCTGACAGTCATGAGAGGTCCTGTGAGTACCATCATGTTGAATAAAGAATTCCATGTGGTTTTTGGCCTTATCTCAGTAAAAATCTCTTAAAAATGCTGATACAAATTATTATTATTTTTATCCCACTTTTCTGCCCAAAAGACAGTCAAGGCAATTGTGACACTGAAAAGGAACTGTGTGAGAACAGCGTAAAAAGAGAGGTTGCATCTGCCATGAAGAATCTTTATTCCTACTTTTAAAGCAGAGCCTAAGATAGGATTATTCCTTAGAATCATGCAGGGATCTTACATTCCACTGAGTCCCAATTACCATGACTAAACATTGCGTATCATGTAAGGGTGCCAAATTAATGGATGCAATAGTAAGAAATCACATTAATCAGCACCAGTTATCAAAAGAGTGTGTGCTAATATAAAAGGAAGTCTTACATAAAAGAGAACTATATAATTTTGCATTGATTTATTTAATTTAAATCCCATCTTGCCTTGAAAAAAGCGACAACCATCCAATTACATGAAGATCACACAGAGGTCTCCCATGCTGCCAAGTAAACTTTGGGGTTAAGTGGGAGTTTGAACTTAGATCCTAACTTGAGCATTTCAGCTACGATTCCATACAGACTATCTCAAGAAAGGAATTTTGTATACTGTAAGGGCAATTTCCAAACAGAGCCATTACCCTAGTTTCACCAGAAGGAGCTGTTCCAACTACATGGCTGACATACTAACGTTGCCCATCACATGATATGGTCAGTCTCTGGCTCGGACATTTTACAGACTGACATATCACAGCCCCTTTATGAAGGCTGTATGGTGCACATGCTCATCATGTGTTTTTTCACCAATTTCCAGTCTTTCAAATCTTTTCCACAAAGGAACAAACATTTGACAAACAAAGGTGAAGGCAACTAAAACATTCAGAATGGAGAATTGAACCATACAGACCAAAAAAATGAACTTACTATATGAAATGAACTGCCATGCGAAGTGAGGGAAGCAGTAGGCATGTGGGAGCGGTAATAGACAACCAGCTTTTGAACTAAGGCACCATAGTGTGGCTTGGTTAAAATGAAATCAGCTGTGGTTATTGGGATTACATGTCATTTCTTGCAAAGCAGCGTCACAGATGCCTATCACAGCCATCCTAAAGTTTTTGCTTAAAGTTGTTTGATGCAAATCATGTGCCAAAAGGAATACAGTAGTTAGTCAATTAGGTAACATTTTCCACTGCTCAGAATATTTTGAAATATTTTAATGCTTAAGACAGACTTCTTAGTTACAGAGAAGTCTGGGATGGTGGTTTTAGTAGAGCACTTCAGAAGGAGAAAGCTTTTGCTTTAGAACTTAATGGACGGAAACAAAAAAGTATATTCTTTCCTAAGCAGCACGAGCATAACATAAGCAATATTTCAAAACTCATTTGGACACCAAAGAGCATGAAAATCACCTTTGTTAACACAGCTTCGTCATTACTCAACCTGAGGAAAACTCTTTGCTTATTCCACAAGATTCAACCCCATTCCATTTGCTTTACGAACAGAAATAGGTTTTAACTTGGGGAAGGTGGGGCGGAGGGAAGGAGAGAAGAATCTCACTATTGAAAAGAAGGCCCAGTCTTATAAAGATTGCACTTCCAGTCCAGGAAACCAGTGGGAATCTCTTTACCCTCTCAGCATGGCTTTTAGATCAACACTCTCTTGATTATTTCCTTTCTCCACTGTTCTTTCCAATAATTATTGAAAGCTATCCTGCATTATAGATAGTGTGCCTTGGTTGCTGAATAAAATATAGATTAAGTTGTTGGAGGAAGAAGTGGTTTGCGATTCAGCACTGGGGATGGAGAGAGAGCAGGTGAGAGGGACTACAGTGAACCCAAACCTACAAGTTATCTAAAGCAGGGTTTTTCAAACTGCGTTCCATGAAAACCTGATGGGGTTCTATGAGAGGCTAAGGGCAAAAAGGGAAAAAAAGGTTCACTCACATGCAGCCAGTTTTTTATCACTGGAGCTTTGTCTCTTGGTAGAGATTCTGTTTTGCTTCCTTTTTTAACTAACAGGTTCTACAGTATGGACTGAAAACATTTGAGAATCACTAGTCTAAAGGAACTAGGAATTGCCTACAGGCTGCCAACATTCCTTGTGGGATTAGCTCCGTTTTCCATTAGGATAAAGTGCATGTAAAAGACTTGCAAAAGGCCTGCACATCAAAAATATGAAAATACAACAGTAGGCAGTTAATCAGAAAATAGCCGTCCAAGTTGTAGTTAAGAAGGGCCGTGCTTAACTATTGCTTTAGTGTTTTTCACCCATCCAATAAAACAGTCCTGAAGGAGGGCAGAAGTCTGAGAACATCATTAGTACATTGATTTCAACAAGGCTTCAATGTACTTCATTCTGCCTGGATCAGCACCAAGGCCTTAAGGTTTCAAAAATTTTGATTTTTCTTTTGTTGGAACGAAAGACCACCTGTAATCATGTTAATGTTATGCAACCATAAAATATTCCAGTTCCATATACATGAAGAAAGCAAGAAGAAGAAAGCTCTCTAGATACTGTTAGGCTTTGCTGCCAATTTCCTTGTTATCCTTAGTTGCAGTTTTAATTCGAAAACAGTTTTCTTCAGTTAGAAAATCAGATTAGTACAGAAGGAAATCATTTAAGATGTAATAGTTAGATCAATTTCTTAAACCCACCCACTGCAAAGAGAGTCTATTAGCAGTGTATGGAAGGAGGGTAGAAAAATATAGGTCATGAGAATTTGTATGTTGCTAAGCAAGCCCTTAGATAGTCCTCCAGCTCTCCTCATTCTCAGTCTATGTTGTCTTTTCTTTTGGTGGCTAGCTACACCTCTGGAGCCAGAAGATTTTTCCTCTCATTGGCATCCTCGAAGGTGTCTGCCATGGTGTCTGCCATTGCCTAACCTTCTCCACAGAATCCCTTTGCTCAGTTCCTAACCATTCTGCTTTGGACATTCTTGCATCAGCTGCACCTCCTTCACAGGAGCATCAGAAGCCAGATTACCCAGGGCCAAATCCCTGGCCCATCTAACACTGCTTCTTGGCAATGATTGTCCAGAGTTTTGAGCAAGGACCTTTCTCAAGACTGTGTGTAGTTGCTGGGTTCAACCTGGAACCTCTTGCAGGCAAAGCATCTGATTCACCCCTGAGCTACTGCCCTCATTTTAAAAACTGCTGAACCTCATTCTATTTGGGCAACAAAGCTATCCCTGCAAACCCCCCTCCTTTTTTTTTTTTTAGCTCCCTGATGGGACTTTTCGAAAAGAGATTTTCAAGCCATTGAGAAGCCATTTCTGGCTGAAAGTTATGCAGATAAGATCCAATTGCAGCCATGGAAATTATGCAGACCATTCAAGTTGTGACCTCAAAATCCTGCAGACATATATAGCATATATTCATTTTGAATTCACCCTCTTCTTCCATAGGAAGAAGCCAGTTTGAGTATATGGAAAGAAGCTGATTACCCTGAACCGTGTGTGTTTCTGTGCAATGGTAGGCGGTGGGTTGATTGTAAGTCGCAAGGGATTCCCTATGCTTCTTTTAAAAGAAAGCAATAAATAACAAATAAATATACAGCACTAGCAACATGGACAAGCATAGTTTAACCACGTTTATCACTGGTTAAATCCAAATCATAAGGAAGGCCCACCCTACCTTTGAATTCCCTCTTTGCATTATAATGTTATTGAAACAAAGGCAAAGAATGCCAAATGCTGGGGTTTACTTTATAAATACAACAGCACTGAAGGGAATGCTGAGAATAATAACAACAGTAATAATAACAACAATAAACAAACAGAAAAGAAAAAATCAAAGCCTTCTTCCATTTACTCTCCTATTTAAATAGAAAAGGCCAGATATACAATATTAGACTGTAATCACTGACTAAAAGGGAAAGGAAAAGCAATGTGCATGTAGGTTAGTCCCCAGTCCTCATTCCAGTACAGTGAGGAACAATATTTTCCCACTGATATCAATAAGAATAGTTGAAAGATCATGAAACAAGACTTAGGCAGTATTTCCAATAGGCTGCAATTCTATGATTCTCATTGGTTTGCTGTGGTTTAAAGATGAGCCTTGGAGTGACGAATTTTGATAGTAAGCAGCATTTGGCATTCTTTCTAGAAAATAAGTCCTGCCAACATTTCTTATACATGACTTCCCCTGAATGGCTGGGGAATGGAAGGAGAGATCTGGAAAAACACCCTGGGAAAGGCCACCATTTGCATCAAGAGTCTCATGTTACTCCATCATGACAACGGTCAACACATTTCAGTAAAGTAAGTCAAGAACACGCATACACTCTGACACATATCAACCATTTCCTCCAAACTGGCTTAGTTGTGCAAAGTTAAGGCCATTCAGGAAGGAAGGACGGAAGGAAGGAAGGAAGGAAGGAAGGAAGGAAGGGTCAGCTTCACACAGTAGTGTTGCGAGCCAGGCTGACTCGCCCGCTGGGAAATGCTCTCTCAAGTAGCCCATGATTTCCTGTTTTCTGTATTCCTTTTACTCTTCTCAGGCCGTGGAACTGATCCTCCTTCTGTCTTGGCTAGAGCCGCCAAAGAAGCCAAATTGGAGGCAGAGCCTGAAAAAGTGCCACTATGCCGGTGCTCAGGCCCAGTTGTGCTCTGTAGTTTCACTCCAGTGCTCCGGCGCCTTGCAGGCCCTGTGGCTCTTCTGACCCGACTTGGCTTCACAAGGAGCCCATAGCCTGGATTGCATTTGAAATACTGCCGGCCTTCAATGGAGCCATCATTTTTACCTTTGAGATAAGAGATTTTCTTTTAAAAGGGTTGTTTCATAAGTCATGAAAATAAATGCATCTGGCTAAGGATACTGCCCAGTGGAAACTGGGTAATGGGTAGCTTAATAAAATTTGGTGCCTGAGGACACAGCATCCCATGGGAGAACTTGGCTGCACATCACCACACCTTGTATAGGAGACCTTCCTAGTGGATCTGTGCGTTATCCCCTCCACCACCAATACAGTAATGCCTCCCAGGTTCCATAAACATGGCATAGGAAAGTAAGCCTCTCTTTCCCTCTAACTGATGTGGTAGCTGCACAAGTTAATTCAGAGTGATGCTACAGTCTATAACCCTTGTAATAAACATTTCACTTTCTGTGGCATATTTCCAGCATGCTGTGTATTCAGCATATATTATCAAGACTGTCATCTTTATATGGCAGCTCAAAAATAGAGGCAGACAAAAGGCCAGCTTGCAGAAGCCACTCAAGCAGAGTATCATATGTTTTCAAGCTTTGTTTAACTACTCAAAATACAAGGTTAACCCCTGTGGAATTGCTCTTTCACAATCAGAGCTCATGGTCATATGAAGCTGCACTATTTCCTCCTCTGGCTACTATCCCTGATTCATCAGGCACTTTCCAAAATATATGAATTGCCATCTTTTTAATTAAAGATGTTGTAAACTGAACCAGGTAAAATGAACCCCATCCATACTCTTCTGGATACAAAACATGGGTTCTGCCACTAAGTAGAGAAACCCTTTACAATCAGCCAGATTTCCATATATGCTCTGGATGAGCCACACTATTCCCAATCACTCTTGCTGAGGCCATTCCTCCTTCCACTATAGAGCAATCCATGGGTTGATGAACCTGTCCAAGTAGAGGTGGCAGGATTTCAGACAATACTGGACATTAAGGAGAAAGGCTCACCATATTGGTGACCTTTTCCACCTGCACTACTCCACCCATCCCAAGAAAAAAATTCTACATGCAGCAGACTTACACTGGGGAACAGCAAAGGGATCTAGACAGCCTTCAGTAAGAGACTAGGGTCTGAGGGAATCAGCTGTGGATTGAGGGAAATGAAAAATGATACCAAAGCCAACCACATCCACTTCCTGAACACCTCATCACATCCCAACAACACTTCTCAACACTTACCTGATGGCAAATCCAACTCGACTCCAACCCAGATTCCTTCCTGGAAGTCTGTTGGACCAACATATCTCACGGTGCCCATTTTATTTGTACCAACAGTTACATATTCACCTTCTTTCAGCCAATATGGGAGTTCATTTGCTTCTTCTGAGTCAGATGCTGCTGCATCCAGTTTCTCCTCAGAACCAGCAACTGTGCCATTGTTCTGGTCTGATCCTTCTGAATTCTGTCTGTTCTTTTCTTCTGAACACAAAGAAGCTCCTGGTTCCCCACTCAACATGCTGGAGAAGGACTTGAGTTCTGATGTTCGTACTCTTTGGATTTTGAATGGAGAATTTGCAGCGTTGGACTGAGGAGACAGGTTAACCATAACCTGAGCCTTTGAAGGTCCTGTTTCATAAACAGAAGCCAGACTGGCCTCCTTTGCAACAGAAGGAGGGCTCTCTGTTGGTAGAGTGACAGGTGTGTGTGTCAATTCTGTTTGTTTCTTAGTAGGAGAGAGAGAACAGCAGTCTTTATCCTCAGTAACTAGGGAGGTAAAAACCTGATCTTCATTTAGAGTAATGGAAGAAGTAACAGACCTGGATTTTAAGTTGCCATTTTGGCTGACTTTCTCATTGTCCTTGTCTACTTGATCGCATTTAAGGCCAGGGGTAACTGGATCCCTTTTTGAAAGAGAATGGCAACACTGAGAAGCTAAATCAGAACATGTTTTATGACCCTCTGTTGCAGACACCACCTTAGCAGTTGTTGAAATTTGGGGGGGATCATTTGTGGTGGAGGTCTGATTACTGGCTTGAAGGTGGGGGTCACTTCCTGGTGCAAGTGCTTCAGAAAGGGTTGCTGTAGAAACACTGTGTGAGAAGTACCCACTGGAGGCTTCACTCAAGGGACTTGGTGGCCCCTCCTGAGAGTCCTGTGCTTGGATGTCCACTGTGGACTGCTGTAAAGGCACTTCGGTTGATCTTTCAAGGTTCTTCTCCAACTCTGTCAACTGCATAGCCACCTCAAAAGGCTCTTTGCTCCCTTGTCCTTGGGTAACCTGAAGCAGAAATGGGTCAGAGGCTGTCAAAGCTACATTTTGGAAAATGTAAACACCATGATAAGGATAAACTAGACATTTGTTTTTTTCTAGTCCATCTTCTGTTGCCAGGTCTGAAGGGGTCTGCAACATTTTGATTCATATTTTGAAGGAAGCGGAAGATGAAAGATGTGTTTGGGTAACAGCAAACAAGAGCAGCCCTCCTGCATCATTCAAATCCATATGGCTTTTTACCCCATTTTTAACAACGCTTAGTCAGAGATGAAGGGAATGCCCTATCTGTGTCCACTGATCCCCAGCATCTAGGATTCTAAGGTTCAGAGTTTCTGTAATTCCATATGATTTAAAGAAGTACAGAAAACGTATCTCTCTCCCTTTCCCAGTACCTCCTTGTTCTCCCCGCCCCCCTCCAGGAAGTAAGTAAGCCTCCCACTGCCTGTGATTGCTACTGAATCTATAGTGGGTGGATAGAGGGAAGAAAGTCCCAATATACCATGCAGGAATTCTTAGAGTATACCTACAATTCAAACACCAGGGGTCCATAAGTTCCTTCCCCTCCCAAGAAAAGCTTTGCCCATTATTGAAAAAGTGAGAATTCTCACAGTCTGAATAGGGCACAGTTTGGAATAAAAGCCATTCAAAATTAACAATTTAGGTAACATTGGTATCCAAAATGTATAGATCTACCAGCTTATTGAACTGCATACTTTATCTGGCTCATTTATTGTTTTATCGTATGCATTTTATGGCTTGTAACTCATTCTGAGATCCTTAGGGTAGTGGGCAAGCTAAAATATGTTAATAAATAAGAATGGAATAAGTAAGAATGTGAATAACACATACTGAGTTTATGGCTTATTTCTATACTAGAGCATTAACAGGGCTCAAAGGAGGCAGTCTAGCTAATAGGCATTTTTTTTATTGAAGGCGTAGTAGGATTAATATATAAATGCATATAGCACATGAAATATGACTCCTATTATTTAATAAAAGATTATTTATATTACAGAAAGGTATGTTTGCTGTTTGAAAGGGGCGATTTATGTGAAGTGGGGAAACAAGCCAGATCTATAAGTCTCTCCAAGTTATTTGGCTTAACTCACAGAAGAGATAAATCATCATTTCCAAGTCAAGTATCACCTTGTGTAGCTCCATATGCCAAGCGTGGCTCCCTTCCCAAATGTGTTAACTGCAACACTACAAACCCACAACTTTCAGAATTAATGGTCCTTTCTATGGTTAACAGTCCATAATATACATATGATATATATACCCACACATACACACCCACACACATTATAATAGATATGGAGTAGCACTGGCCGACTTTGAAAGAACAATTACTTTTGCTAACTCATGCCCTCAGCAAACTCTTGGGATCATGACATTTCTTCAGTGTCTCCTGGGCGACACTGCTGCATGTCTTCTCCCTGCTCCATTCAGCACCCTCAGATCTTTGATCTAAGGCCACATGGAGATGTTTCATGCAGAAGAAGATAGGCAGATCTTACAAGAGGACCTTGGATGACAGTAAGAAAGAATTAACTATAGTGTTGTAGATGCCACTGAAGCAAGTAAATAAAGACTCCAAGACTGTGTTTTCAAAGGAAGAATCACAAGAAAAATTCTTGTCCTCAGACACCTGATACTACGCAGACCAAAATGTGCTATTATGGGAGATAAGGAGATGCAGCCACCAAACCTGGCTTCCCATTTCTCTTATTCCCTTTTATACCTGCAACATGGAATACTGCTTACTTGGCATTGTAGTGGAGTTGTGCACCTGCTGGCCTCCACCACACAGATACACAACATGGACATTACAATGTCATGGATAATGATAATTCAACAAGATTTAGATCTTTTTCTGTGAATACTGAGCAATTAGAATGGCTGGCTCATATGGGGCCAAGGCATAAACTGGGATTTCCCTTTCTGCCACTGAAACCTTTGGGGCTTAGTCAGGATGATTCATAGACAAACTTCTCCAATCTGCACCATCAGCATATAAATAACTATAACACCTTTTTGCATATTTTGGAGAATTAAATTCTTTACTGATTCTGGTATTACTGCTGCCTCCCATCCCTATGTAACAATAATGCAGTTATTCAGCACCACGGACAGTTCAGAACAACCCACCTGTTGGGCTTTTGCAGGACTGGCATCAATGCTGGCAGGCTGAACTGTAATTCGTGGGACTGGCTGCAATAAGAAAAGACATTCCACGCCCCAAGTATTAATCTCTGAATGACTGAAAGGAATAATTTTCAAAGGCAAGTAGAAAGTTACTCATTTCGCAGGCAGTACAATGACAATAAAGATTTCTATTCTATCTTAGTTTAAGCATAATGAGAGCTGATGGCTCAGTTCCCTTATAATGCTAAATTTAGTTTATTTGCTTTAAATGTGTGACTTCATTCTTTTATGACTTTGCATTATGTGCAAATTAAACTATTACAACTTGCTTAACAAACACAGTTAAAAACCTGGCTCAATAAGAACACAATATTTCCCAATCATTTCACATTGTAGTTACTGTAGCTACTGCCAGTAACAATACCACTGAACAGGGGCACAAGCCTCCCCTAGCGTCCCTATGCCTGCCTCCTCATGAGTAGTGACCAAGGCATCATCTCGGCCTTTCCAAATGCTCCCAGTCTCTGGTTGCTCGAGTTGAAAAGACTGGATATTCAGTGTAGTTTTATTACTTGGACTGAGCATTCTTATTACTAATTTCCTTCTGCTTCTTCTAAACATGCTTTATAGTGCTTCCTTCTGAACACACTGAGGACAAAGTTATATCTCTACCCAACCCAGGAATATTTGATGAACCATTTGTAACATTTTTCCTTGAAGGCTCTATACTTCCAGTGCTGATCTTTGCATTTTTCAATTCAACTTTTTAATCTGTAAAATTGTCTCAACAATAAAGTACTTTCATACAATAGTCTCCTAAAAATATGATTGAAACCTTCCCTTCTAAAAACTAATACAAAAATTGTTTAAGATGATAAACCTCTTAAGGATTTTCCCACAACATATTCGATTTTTGAAAGTCAATGTTAAAAAATAGAACAAAAACAGCAATTATAAAAGAAAAAGTGTAAATTAAATATACTTGCTGCCAACAGCAAACTGATGGATAAAGGAACATACCCTTTGGGCAGCAAGTACAGAAACTAATCTTTGAAAGGAAACATGGCTTATATTACAAGACTTGGAAATATCAATTTGAGGATGCTCAACAGTGCATGGAAAGGGGAAGGGGACAGAAAGAGAGAAGCCCTTCAATTCATTATCAACTTTTGTACTGTAAGTAAAGTCACAGATTTATCTTTCTAATCTGGTATTTCCTTTATATGCTGTACTTCAAATCTCATATTACTCCAACTATGAGAGCCAGCGTGGTGTAGTGGTTAAGTTACTGGACTAGAAGTAGGGCAAACCATATTCTTATCCTTTTAGGCACAGAAGCTGGCTGGGTGACTTTAGGCCAGTCACTTTTTCTCAGGGTAGTTGAAAAACATCTATCCACTAACTCATACTAGATCAATGTGGTAGACTATGGTAGATTTATAACCTTTGATGAAGGGGCCTTCATCTTGTAGTGGATTGATTCAAGCTGACAACAACAAAACAACAACAACACTTCAAGTAGCATCACCATTAGTTGAGGTATTACAGGAGATGAATCCAACATATCTGGAGGCCAGGAGGCTTAAGAAAACTGTTCTATGAACATAGATAGCTGTCTAATACTAAGCCAGGCCATTAGCTATCAAGCCAGGGCTGGCCACTAGATCAACAATCTGGTGCCCAAGATGGGAAAAAACAGAAATGAACTTTAAGTATCAAGGACCTTCTGCATAGAAAACAATGCTCCTCTCAGAGCCCCTGGCTACTTTTATGCTAGGTGGTAGAGTCAGGTGAAAGAGATCATATTACAATTTCAGAATATTTTTTTCTTCTGAATACACCTACTTTAGTATAATGGCTAAGAGCATGATTGCATTGCGGTTGCCCAGCTTGAACATTTTTTATCTGGAGGCAACTGACTGGCCACAAACTCTAATATCAGCAGGACTTTGCCTTCCTGTTTATACTTGTTACCTTTTGAATAGATCAAGTACAGGTAGTCCTTGTTCAGTGACTGCAATTGATTCCAGTGAAATGGTCACTAAGGAAACCATGTGACAAAGACACTGCAAAGATCGCTGGTTGCTGCCCTTTCATTCAGATAAAGTTCTCTGGTTCAGTGTCTTATGTCTGACTTGCTCCCCCCCCCCTTTTTTGCCCCCTCACAGGGTGGAGAGATTGCTTAAACAAGCCCTCTCTTCCTGAGCTGCTTTTCTCCCCAGCAGCACCTTCCTAAAAAGTGTTCAGGGAAAGTTAATAAGCTCAGCTCTGTGACCTTAATTAGTTGATTAGAACCCTCCAGCCTGCTCCCAGCTGCTGTCTGAAACTGACCAGTTATTCAGTTTCACACTGAAGGCTTTTGTTATCCTAAACGCTGGCATTGGTAGCAAAGTTACTTTCTCATCACCGTGGTAATTGCTGAACAAGGACTACCTGTAATGTTGCCACTAAAAGTGACTTGGAAAATTCTGGGTTCTATATGCTTTGCTTGTCTCTCCATTCTTCCTTGGGTGCTCCTGTCTTCTTTTCTTGCTTGGCAGTTCCAGTAAGAGCAATCCAGAATAAGTGAGTCAAACTGGATATCTTTTTTTTTAAGCAGATGGCTCTCTGTTCACACAGGGTTGTCATTTAAACAGACCAAGAGGCACCCATCAGCCCAACAGAATTTTTATTTCCTCCCATTTAAAGCAGCCCTTAAACAGCTTAATCAGAAACTCCCCTTTTAGGTACATTAAGCAGATTTCAGCGGAAGCCAGTCCAATAGTTACATGAAGAACCCTATTAGGCCAAATTAATTCAATCTGAATAATTAGGGAGCAGGAAGTTCTTTCAATTATTTTATATACCTTCTGCACAGCACACCTGAATACATGAGCAGCTTTTATTAATTGTGGTTTCCTTCTTCTACAGATCTGTTTCTGACTTTGCCATGGGAAGTCAAGGCAGCAGCATAGTTCGCTACTCCCTCCCTCAGTTCTCTGGCAGCAAATGGTGAGAAACCAAACAGAAAATGGGCAAGGAAGATTTATTGAAAAGCAAGAACCCCTACAGGAAGCAGGACATGTCTTTTACATTCAGGTCTATGAAAGAGACACCATCAAATAATATTCTGCACCAACAGTGTAGAATTCCATACAAGCGAATAAGCAAGCACTTTATGAACACTGGCCTGACATTTCTTTTGATAGTCCAGATAGCAAGGAACTTGGGAGGGGGGATGGCATTAAATGCAGAGAATACCACCAACTTCTGGGATTTCACCAAAGCGGACATGTAAGGATTTGGTAGCATCTGTAGAATGTGTACAAAACTTTGCAGAGAGGTGACATGTCCAATGGTCCTGGACACAATCCACTCAGCCTATCTGCAGTCTTCTCAATCATTTATGTCAGGCCCCAATCAGTTAACTGAAGGTAACAATCCAGTCCTGTTGAATTCTTTTCTACTTTAGCCATGGCAGTAAGACCAAACACTCTCCTTGAGCAACTGATCAAGTTTCCAAAGTGCCAGCACTAATTCAGATTATTTGAACACTGTTGTCCAGGTTTATTATTTAATTATTCAGTGTATATGGCTGCCCAATTCTGGGTGGCTTACAACAAATTTAAAAACCAAGATAAAAATATCAGCCTCAAAATAAAACACATAAGTAACTAACCGCTAATACTCATCTCCTTAAAACATCCCTCAGAGTTGGACTCACTCAATGCCCTGACCCAGTGTTGCCAGGAGCAGCTATGTCTTCAGTGCCTTTCAAAAGGCCAACAGGCTGGGGCCATCCAAATTTGAGGGTCTAAGCTGTTTCATGGGGCAGGCATTGCAACAGAGAAGATACAGTAGATCAAGCTCAATGCCTCACAGCAGCAATTTTTCAACATTTCAGCTAAAATGAAAGGTTGAAAAATGGCTCCATCGCTCACTCAATCCTGCCATAGAATCTCTGGCATTCTAAGGGCACATACATAGTCTTCTATTGGTCTATACCAGTGTTTCTCAACCTTGTCAGTTTTAAGATGTGTGGACTTCAACTCCCAGAATTCCCCAGCCAGTTGAGAGTACCTTTGAGATACACCTCTGTGTATTCCTGAAGTTAAGCATTGAAGGAGCAAAGTATTTATAACTGACAAGCTCTTTTTCAAAGATGGGCAATTTCCCTACCATTACTGATCTTTTCCTTGGATTCTTCAGAACACAGGTTGAAAGTCCACAGTGAAGGTTAAACAAAACTTGCCCTCTAGTTTCCTTTGAAGTGAGCTCATTTCTTTCAACTGCTGCTATAACAAAGGCAGTTAGTTTTTCTCACAGACCATCAATCTCTTCTTGGCCTCCTTTCCTTGCCATTTCCATGTGTGCAGAAACTTACAAATGTTCCTGCCTTTCAGAATAGTCCACACCACTTACAGTACATTTCGTTAAATCTTCCCTTTAAAAAATCAGCAGCTCTAGCCCTAAGTCATTTTTCCCTTTTCAGCCAGATCCCTTCTAGCACATTAACTGCTTTCTAATAAATAATCTTCCATTTCTGTAACACCCAAGAGTATCTGCATTGTGGCATAATCACCAACTACAGTAAGCCTTCGGCACTGTAAAACCATAATTTTCATTTGTAGTTAATATAATTTCTTGGCAAGCACAACAGGAAGATTGTTTGGTCTCTTTTAAAACTTCTCTGAATACCTGACCATTCATTTGGATGATTGCTAGTACACCTTTCCAATTTATTGTCCAATGCCCTTTGCTTCTCATTGCATTCCCATTCCACATTTAACTGCGGGGTTGCCTTGCTTTTTTTCTACTGGCATTTCATAGTTGCTGTTCCTTCTGGGATTATTCAGACTGGACCAGATCCTTCTTACCTCCTGCATTTTATCAATGCATACTAGCATCCACAAACACCATTTTTATGCTAACAAAGTATGAATACTGGCTCTCCTTTTTGAATAAAGGATTTTTATAATCTTGCTATTCTGAGATGCCATATGGTGCCTGCACGGACACCCAAGAATTCTCAGATAAAAGGAAAGAACCAGAAAGCAGGAGGTTAACAGAATAGAGAAATATATTTA